TTATATACGACATATAATTTATAAAATATATAAATATATAAATTTATATTATGCAATAAATAGAATATATAAAGTTTTTATCTATTATATTCCATTTATATAATATATAGAAGATAATAAATATATTTATATATTATATAGAGATAAGATATACATTATATAGTAATATATTATATATTATATTATTATATATTATATATTAATATATAATATATATTATATTATATATTAATATATAATAATATATATTATATTATTATATATTATATATTAATATATGCTAAAGTTATTATAGAGATATAACTTTCTATATATATAATATATATATATAAAGTTGTATTTCTATAATAAATGATAGAAAAATATAATAACTATATAATAAGAATGATAAAATAATTTTATAAAGTTATAGAAATTATAATAAATAATTCAAATTATAAGAACTAATATTAAATAACAAGTATAATATGAATTGGGATTAACACAACAATCACAATAATTAATTATGATAATGATGATTATAATTCTAATATTTTATAAAAGTTCCTCTTGGCAGCTGCAGCTGCTGAGGTTGGAGCGGAGCCCTCAGTGAATCCTCTGCGCTCCTGGGGCTGGGCTGTGCTCTCTGCTCTGCGCTGAACCTCAGCCTGTGCCAGCTCCGAGCCCTCCTGGCCTCTCTCCAAATGGGTCACGGCAGCACAGCTGGGTTTGGGAATCTTGAATAACCCAAAGTTACCTGTGCTGGGCTTTTTTTGGGCTGTTTTATCATTAAAACAGGAATTCTGCCCAGGGGTGGGAGTTGGAGCAGATGAGGTGATGTGGTTGTGATGAGGTTTGCAGAGTTTGTTTGCCTGGTCCTGTCCTGGCTCTAAATGGGTCACTGCATCGTATTTATTTGTTAAACTTTTTATCGTTATTTGGCTCCTGTGAATCTTTAATAACCCAGAATTTCCTGTGCTGCGTTTTTTGGGATGTTAAAAACACTTCAAGCAGGAATTCTGCCCAGGGGTGGGTGTTGGAGCAGCAGTTGTGATGAGGTTTGCAGAGTTTGTTTTCCTGGTCCTGTCCTGTCTCCAGATCGGTCACTGCATCATATTTGGGGTTGGGAATGTGTAATAATCTGAATTACCTGTGCTGGGGTTTTGGGGCTCTTTAATAGTTAAAACAGGAATTCTGCAAGGGGATGGGACCTGGATCAGCAGCTTTGGTGAGGTTGCAGAGTTTGTTTTCCTGTTCTGTCCCATCTCCAGAGGGGTCGTGGGTCACTGCATCCTATCTGGGACCCCTCAGGGTGAGTGAGGGTGGGGGTGACAGCTTGGGGCTGAGCAGGAGCCACAGGCAGGGCAGGGGTGCTGCTAATTGGTAATTAGAAACGAGATTAATAAACCCATTGTGGTTAGGAGGGAGTTTAACAAGCCCGTTGTTAATTAGGAACGAGTTTAACAAACCCATTGTGGGGGCAGCTCAGGTGTGAACGTCCCTGGCTCACAGCAGCTGTGGGAGCGCCACTTGGGCCACGACCAGGCTGGAGTTTGTCACTGTCAGGGATGTTTGGGATCTTTTAGCAGCCAGGACTGACCAGGACAGGGATGTTTGGGATCCCTAAAAGCCAGGAATGATCAGGACAGGGATGTTTGGGATCCTCAGCAGCCAGAATTGATCAGGACAGGGGTATTTGGGATCCCCAAAAGCCAGGAATGATCAGGACAGGGATGTTTGGGAGCCAGAACTGATCAGGACAGGGATGTTTGGGATCCCCAGCAGCCTGGACTGACCACAACAGGGATTTCTGGGGGACTTTTGCTCCAGAAGCACAGGGAGGGAAATGGCTTTACCCGAGCCAATAACAAAATCTCTCCTCAGTGCCTGAGCCCAGCTGAGACTGACCCAGCCTGGCTTGTGGGAGGGCTGGGAAAACTCCAGCTCCACAAAACTCCCTGAGACTTGTCCTCAAACTGTTCCCTCCTCTTGTTTTATTCGGCTGTGACTTTAGAAGCGTTTTGTTTCCTACAGCAGGGAGAGTAACCAGCTGCCTCCTCTCTGAGCTCTGCATTTCCATGGCAGAATCCACCTCTGAGCTCAGGGAGAAGTGGAAGGAGCTCAGGACAGAGGATAAAGCAAGAGGTGCCTTCCCTGCCCTGCTGCTCCTTTGCATGAAGAGCCTGGCTTGTCAAATGTTTCATGTGTGTGGTTTAATTAAAAAAAAAAAATTATAAAAAAATCTGCAATGCAATCTGTGCTCTAATTTGAGGACACCATTTAGTGATTTTAATTGTGTGACAGTATTTTGGTATTTTCAATACCCAGTAGTAGGTTAATGACTGTTCCTTGAAGAATGGAGTTTATATAACACCACTCATTACATAAGAAGGCTGATTGTGGCCTGAGGAGCAGGAGGGAAACAAATTTGCAAAAATGCAAAACCCAGCACCAGCAAATTCTGCTTTGGTCACTCTGAGAAGCCCAAAAAAAAGGAACACCTGGATTCCAGCAAGGAGAAACTCACCCTGAGGAAGGCTGGGGATGGAGGGGAGGCTCTGAGGACACCCAAGCTGAGCTGCCACGCATTCCCCACGTGCTGCTCCCTGCACCTCGCCCCGTTTGCTGTAAAAGGAACAACAACCCAACAAGCAAAAAAGTTACCGGCTGGTCACTTCTTTTTTTTTTTTTTTCCTTTCCTTTTCTTTCCATTTTCCCCCAGCAGCTCCTAAACTGGACAGACCGAGAGCACGGTGTGCAATGAACGGACCCTTGGCCTTAGGGACAGAGAGGGGACAAAGCTCTTTGTGTCACAGCCCTGCCGGGGTCCCTCCGCACCAGCCCGGCCTTTCGGGGGGGCCAAGCGAGGGAGGAATTTCCCAGGGAGGATTTTCCGAGGGAGCATTTCCAGCCGGGCTGGGATTTGCTCCCCGCTCCAGGCGGCTCCGCTGCCTCCCTTTGCCCGCGGGGCCGCGACCCCCGCTCGGTGCCCTCGATCCCCGCTCGGTGCCAGCGATCCCCGCTCGGTTCCCGTGATCCCCGCTCGGTGCCCTCGATCCCCGCTCGGTGCCCGCGACCCCCGCTCGGTTCCCGTGATCCCCGCTCGGTTCCCGCGACCCCCGCTCGGTGCCGGCGACCCCCGCTCGGTTCCCGCCACCCCCTGCTCGGTGCCAGCGATCCCCGCTCGGTGCCCTCGATCCCCGCTCGGTTCCCGTGATCCCCGCTCGGTGCCCTCGATCCCCGCTCGGTGCCAGCGACCCCGGCTCGGTTCCCGCCACCCCCTGCTCTGTGCCGGCGACCCCGGCTCGGTTCCCACGATCCCTGCTCGCTTCCCACGATCCCCGCTCGGTGCCCTCGATCCCCGCTCTGTGCCCGCGACCCCGGCTCGGTGCCCTCGATCCCCGCTCGGTGCCCGCGATCCCCGCTCGGTGCCCTCGATCCCCGCTCGGTGCCCTCGATCCCCGCTCGGTGCCCGCGATCCCCGCTCGGTGCCCTCGATCCCCGCTCGGTGCCCGCGATCCCCGCTCGGTGCCCGCGATCCCCGCTCGGTTCCCGCGCTCGGTGCGGGCGGAGGAGGCTCCGGGGGCAGCGCGGGGGAACGCGGGGCTCGCACCCCCGGCCCGCCCCGCTCCCAGCGCGGACCCCCGGGCGGAGAGAGCCCGGGGAGGGGTCCCGGAGGGGCAAAGGGGGCCGGGGCCGACCCCGGGCGGAGGAAGGGCGGGGTGAGGATGGCGTGTGGCTCTGGAAACGCGGCCAAGCGCCGCTGCCGGGGCTCGGCGTGCGGCTGCGGGGCGGGGGGAGCCCCGCAGGGCCGGCCCGCAGAGCTGGAGCCGCCGCTCGCCATGAGCCGCTCCCGGAGCAGCGCCTCCCCACGTAGGTAAATGCCCGGGGTGGGGAGGGGGCGGCCGGCGCTGCCTTGGGCGCATCTTCCCCATCGCTGCATCCCGCATCCCTCCCCTGCATCCCGCATCCCTCCCCCGAGCGGGGCCGGCCCGGGGGCTGCCCGCGGGGACAGCGCAGCCCCGAGCCGGGAGGGCTTGTGGGGCTGATTTTTTTTTTTTTTTTTTTTTTTTTTTTGGGGGGTGAAGGGGGGTGAGGGTGGGCGCGGTGATTTGAGGGCTGGGGTATTTTATTTCATTTATTTTTTATCGCCGATTTTTATTTAGCGGCGCTCGGCGGCGGGGATGATTTTGGGGAGGGTCGGCGGGGAGGATGCGATGAGGCTCCCCCGGAGTGGGTGATTTTTTTGCAGCCTGCCTCCTCCTCCCCCAGCCTCTCCCCCCCACCCCGGCTTTGGCTGCCTCGCTTCCCAGTTGCTGCATGAAGGCTGTGCTTGCACCGGCGTGTGCCCGCTCCCGGAGCCGCGCACCCGCCGCCACCGCGGCCGGGGGGAGCCCGGGGCCGGAATTATTATTTTTATTTTTAATTTTTTTAAAAAATATTTTTTAATAATTTTTTAAAAATATTTTTTAATTTTTTTTTTTTTTTTTTTTTTTTTTTTTTTTTTTTTACCTATCACATCCATCCTTAGAATTACAAAATAATAACGCGGGCAGGGCAGGGCGCGGGAGCCCGCGGCATCCCCGGCACGGGGGAGCGCTCGGTGCGCGGTGTGCGCGGGGGGCTCCGCGCCGCCCCGCCGCCCCCCGCCGCACCGCAGCGTGCGGGCAGCGAGCGCGATGCGCCCCGCGCTCGGCGCTGCGGAATAGCGCGGCCGCCGCTCCGCGGGCTGCGGGCGCACGGACCCGACCGCTGGCCGTTCCCTCTTGATGTCCATGAATGCAAACACCATGATTTTCATGATCCTGGGCGCCTCTATCGTTATGGTAAGAGATTTTTTGCTTATCTCCCCTCCCCATCCATGGTGTGTCCCCCCCCCCCCCTCCCCGCTTCCTCCTCCTCCTCCTCTCCATCAGCACCGCCACCCCCCCGCCTCCTTTCCACCTTCCCCCCGCGCTGTCCCTGAGCCCGAGCACCTCTGTGTGTGCGTGTGTGTCCCTCCACACACGCATCTTTTCCTGATGACTGCTTCGGTGCCCGGCAATCAAAGTGGAGTGGATGTTTTACCCCAGCGCCCAGAGCTGACCCCGTGCCTCGCTTGTGGGCTCTTACAGGCAATAGCTTGCTTGATGGACATGAACGCCTTGCTGGACAGATTTCACAATTACATCCTACCGCACCTCCGAGGGGAGGACCGAGTTTGTCACTGCAACTGTGGAAGGTGAGTTCTACCTGCAGAGCATCCCCCCTGCCCGCCCTGCCCACCTGGGGACGAGGTGACAGGGACAGGGTGGCAGCTGTGCCACCATTTCTGCATCCTGGCCATGTCTCACCTTCCTCGGCAGCTCCTGCATGAGCAGGGTGAGGGAGGGGGGTGCTGTTTGTTGTTGTTTTTTTAAATTTGTTTCGGTTTTTTTTCTGGAAGAAGAGTTTTCTGTGGGCTTGGAAGTGCGTTTTCCTTTGTGTACAGGCATTTGGGAGCCCTGGGGGAGTGAGAAACTTTGATTTAAGCGTTTGTCATTGTGCCTTTTGTCGCCGGTTGGGCCGTGCTGGTTCCCCAGCCTGTTTGTGGTCTGGGTGTTGCAGTTGGTGCTGGTTTTGTGGCTCAGAAATGGAATGGGGCTTGGCCCTGTCCAGGCTGGGATGTGGCCGCCTAGGACAGTCACTCAGAGGCTTTGCAATCAATCTTTGATCAGATTTTCATTCCCTGTGGCTTTTCCTGCTGGACACAGCACGCTGAAGAGGCCGGGCTGTGCTTCAGGAGTGCTGCCTCTGCTGTGCACAACTTTATGCCTGGACACAAACACCTTCCTCATCCTCCAAGCAGCATCTCTGTGCCTTATCCCTGGAGTGCTCGGCTTGGAACTGGGATCTGCCTGCTCTGGAGTCTCCTCAGGCCCAGGGATGAACAGAATGATAAAAAAAATATATATGGGGAGGTGAATTTTGCCCTTCTCTGAGGGACTGCTCCTGGTGCTGCTCTGGACTCTGCTCAGGCCCAGAATTATGAAATATAAATACTGGGGAGGTGAATTCCACCCTGCTCTGTGGGACTGCTCTTCATGCTGCTCTGGAGTCTGCTCAGGCCCAGGGCTGAACAGAATTATAAAAATATAAATACTGGGGAGGTGAATTCTGCCCTGCTCTGTGGGATTGTTCCTGGTGCTGCTCTGGACTCTGTTTAGGCCTAAGGCTGAAGAGAATTATAAAAAAAAATATATATGGGGAGGTGAATTTTGTCCTTCTCTATAGGACTGTTCCTGGTGCTGCTCTGGAGTCTGCTCAGGCCCAGGGCTGACCAGAATTACAGAAATATAAAAATACTGGGGAGGTGAATTTCTCCCTGTTCTGAGGGACTGCTCCTGGTGCTGCTCTGGAGTCTGCTCAGGCCCAGGGCTGACCAGAATTATAAAAATACACATATGGGGAGGTGAATTCTGCCCTTCTGTGTGGGACTGTTCCTGGTGCTGCTCTGGACTCTGTTCAGGCCTAGGGCTGAGCTCTGGGAAGTGAATTTCTCCCTGCTCTTTGGGACTGCTCCTGGTGCTGCTCTGGACTCTGTTCAGGCCTAGGGCTGGACAGAATTATAAAAAATATAAACTGGGGAGGTGAATTTTGCCCTTCTGTGTGGGACTGTTCCTCATGCTGCTCTGGAGTCTGTTCAGGCCCAGAATTATAAACAAATACATATGGGGAGGTGAATTTTGACCTTCTCTGTAGGACTGGGTGTAGGTCCTGTAGTTCCTGGTGCTGCTCTGGAGTCTGCTCAGGCCCTGGGCTGAACAGAATGATAAAAATATAAATATTGGGAGGTGAATTTTGCCTTTCTGTGTGGGACTGCTCCTGGTGCTGCTCTGGGCTCCATTGAGGCCCAGGGCTGAGCTCTGGGAGGTGAATTTTGTCCTGCTCTGAGGGACTGCTCCTCGTGCTGCTCTGGACTCTGCTCAGGCCCAGGGCTGAACAGAATTATAAAAATACAAATACTGGGAGGTGAATTTTGCCCTTCTGTGTGGGACTGCTCCTCATGCTGCTCTGGGCTCTGCTCAGGCCCAGAATTATAAACAAATACATATGGGGAGGTGAATTTTGTCCTGCTCTGTGGGACTGTTCCTGGCGCTCCTCTGGACTCTGTTCAGGCCTTGGGTGTGGCAGCACCCTCAGCTCCTGGGGCACCTCCTCTCAAGGCAAATTTCAAAGGCAAAAAACTTCCAGAGTGTCTCCCACTTGGTTTGGGCAAGAATTTGCTTTTTCTGAGCTGCTTTATTTTTTTTTTTTCTTGATGTTTTTCGCTAGTTTTGAGAGTTTTCCTCTGCGTCTCCCACCAGTTTTTCTGTTCCTGCTCCCAGCTGGTTTCAGTGCTGGTGGAAGGAGCTGCTGGGGTGTTTGGAGTGGCTGAGCAGTGTCAGGGCTCTCTGAGTGTCCCCTGTGCCCAGGGCTGAGGAGGTGCCAGGGTCACCCCTCTGAGCTCCCTCTGTGCCTGCAGAGCTCTTGGGGCAGAGAACCCGGCCCTGGCACTGCCCACAAACACCACGGGGTCATTTCCTGGAGAGGGCACAAAAAAACCTCCCCAAACTGCCGAGATTGGGTGGGAGAGGAGGCAAAAATCAGAGTTCACCCTTTGCCTCAGGCGTGTGTGGGAGCAGAGGCTCCTGCCCACAGAAAGAGCTCAGGAGGCTCTGAGAGCTGCCTGGGAGCTGCTCCTCGCCAAGAAGGAGATCCCAAACCCTCCCTGGGCTGTGCCACCCTGTGCTGAGCTCTGTCCTGCAGGCCCAGGAGATCCCAAACCCTCCCCAGGCTGTGCCACCTCTTTGTCCTGCCCTGCTGCCCCCCTGGTCCTGCCAGGAGATCCTGAAACCCTCTCTGGGCTGGGCAACCTTGAGCTGAGCTCTGCCCTGCAGGACCAGGAGATCTCAAACCCTTCCCTGGGCTCTGCCACCCTCATCCTGAGCTTTTTCCTGCCCTGTTGTCCCCCTGGCACCACCAGGAGATCCCAAACTTCCCTCTGGGCTCTGCCACCTCTTTTTCCTGCCCTGCTGCCACCCTGGTCCTGCCAGGAGATCCCAAACCCTTCCCTGGGCTGTGCCACCCTCACGTTGAGCCCTGCCCTGCCCTGGCAGGACCAGGAGGTCCCAAACCCTTCCTGGGCTGTGCCACCTCCTTGTCCTGCCCTGCTGTCCCCCTGGCAGCCTTTGGAGCTCTCTGGTTTCCAGGCTGTGCCCTGTGAGAGCTGCCCAGGAGCCCTGAGCCCAGCCCTGGGCCGGGAGCAGCTCCCCCAGGCTGGGCTGGGTCCTGGAGCCTCCTGGCAGGGCTTGATGAAGAAAAAGAAACCGAATTTGCCAAAAAGCAGAGGGGAGGGAGGAGGAGGGAGCTGCAGCTCGGTGTTGGTGCAGGAAGGGATGGGGAAAATCAGGAAATGTGGCAGAAATGGGAGGGAAGGAGGAATTGGGATGGGTGGATGGAGATTGATGGGCTGGGCTGGGCTGCTGCAATTAATGACCTCCCTCTGCCCCAGCCTGGGTCACAGTGCTGGGCAGACCCAATAACTCAGGCAGAAAGGTTTCCCTTCCCCTCCCCTCCTCTCCTCTCCTGGTTGTCTCCTGCCTCAGGGTGGAACTGTCCTGCAGCCAGGCTGGGTGTGAGCCCAGGCCCTGGCAGTGCCCTCCAGGAGGGGCTGGGGCTGTGTGCCAGCTGTGCCAGCTGTGCCAGGGCCCTGGGAGAGCATCCCCAGCTGGGAAAACTCTGCTGAGCCCTTCCAGGCTGCCCTGGCTCCATCCTTAGCCTGGATCCCCCTTCCCCTGGCACTGGGATGGCCCTGCCAGGCTGCCCTGGGTGCCCTGGCTCCATCCTCAGCCTGGATCCCCCTTCCCCTGGCACTGGGATGGCCCTGCCAGGTCCCAGCTCCCCTTTGAGGGTCTCCTGTCCCTGTGCCCAGGATTTGCTGTTGGTCCCTGGGGTGCTGGCAGGCAGCAGCACCAGCTGTGCCCAGGCTGTGCCACGTCCTGGGGGCTCTGGGGTCACCCAGGGGAATGGCCAGCAGGGCACTCCCCCCATTTCTGTCCCCCCATTTCTGCCCCTCAATTTCTGTCCCCCCTTTTCTGTCCCCCCATTTCTGCCCCTCAATTTCTGTCCCCCCTTTTCTGTCCCCCCTTTTCTGTCCCCCCATTTCTGCCCCTCAATTTCTGTCCCCCCTTTTCTGTCCCCCCATTTCTGCCCCTCAATTTCTGTCCCCCCATTTCTGCCCCTCAGTTTCTGTCCCCCCATTTCTGTCCCTCAGTTTCTGCCTCTCAGTTTCTGTCCCCTGTGGAAGCTCCAGCACAGCCAGGGTGGGCACAGCTCGGGGGGCCCTGGGGTCCCCTCCTGGGGCTCAGGGGCACCAGGGCTGGGGCTGTTTGTGTCAGTTCATGCCAGGAGGGATTTCTGGGAGGTGCTTTTGAGGTCCAGGTGTCAGGAGGGAGCTGTGGTGTATTGGTGATCTCAGGGGTCCCAGGACGAGGGAAGAGATGAGAATCTTGACTCCATGTTTCAGAAGGCTGATTTATGATTTTATTGTATATATATTTATGATATATATTTTATTAAAAGAAAACGATATATTAAAACTATACTGAAAAAATAGAAGAAAAGGATTTCATCAGAAGGCTTGGAAGGAATAGAAAGGAATGATAATAAAATCCTGTGACTCTCAGAGAGTCCGAGACAGCTGGGCTGTGATTGGCCATTGATTAAAAACAACCACATGAGACCAATCAAAGATGCACCTGCTGCATCCCACAGCAGCAGATAATTATTGTTTTTCTTTTCCTCTGAGGCTTCTCAGCTCCTCAGGAGAAAAAAAAATCCTGCCAAAGGGATTGTTCAGAAAATATCATGGTGACACTGTGGCACCTGTGCTTTCCATGTGTGTTTGATGGGGAGGTGAACACAGGTGTAGGATTCTAAATTAGCAATTTAAATGATAACCCTAAAATGAAAACCCTATAAATGATAACCCTAAAATGATAACCCTATAAATGATAACCCTAACCCTAACTTTACTCCAATAATATTAACAAAACTACAATAGGATGACACAACTCATCAAAGATCCCATTTGCAGTTGGTGACCACCCAAAGATCACATCCCCCCAGTGGTGATTGGCATTTTGTTTTATTCTTTGCAGGATTTTGGTGATTTCTTTTGTGTCTTTGGATAGAGCTGGAGTGGCTGCCCTGGCCTGGGGCTGCCTGCAGCTGCCCACGTGCCCAAATTCGCAGTTTTTGGGGTGCTCTGAGCCTCTGTTTGCAGCCTGAGTGAGCCTGGGCTGGGCAAGCTCTGGTGCCTGCTCTGGTGGCTGAGCTGGGCGCTCCCCTGGGCTCTGAGAGGTGACAAATGTGTCACCTGTGCAGGTGAGGTGCCACCACCAGGCTGGGCTGGGTTTTCCCTCTCCAGAGCAGCAGAGCAGGGAGGGCAGAGCTGCCAGCGCCCCCCAGGGCATGGGAGAGCAATGCTGGGGAAGGGGAGCTGGGCTGGGGGGCACCAGGACAGAGCCAAGGGTGGCACCTGGACACGGCTGGGGCTGACAGGGACAGCTCCTGGGGCACTTCTGGCTCAGGAAAGGGCGGCGGCAGCCAGGGGTGACAGCCACGGGTGACAACGAGCATTGACAGCCGGGGGGAACAGGGAGGGGCGGCAGCCGCGCTCCCTGCAGGGATGTGGCAGCTGCAGCAGATCCTGGGGCAGCTGGGCACTCTCCATGCCAGCCGGTGGCGGCTCCAGGCTGTGCCAAACCTGTGCCAGGCTCTATCAAACCCCTGTGCCAGGCTGTGCCAACCCCTGTGCCAGGCTCTCCAAACCTCAGGCTGTGCCAACCCCTGTGCCAGGCTCTCCCAAACCCCTGTTCCAGGCTGTGCCAACCCCTGTGCCAACCTCTCCCAAACCCCTGTGCCAGGCTCTCCCAAACCTCAGGCTGTGCCAACCCCTGTGCCAGGCTGTGCCAACCCTGTGCCAGGCTGTGCCAAACCCTGTTCCAGGCTGTGCCAACCCCTGTGCCAGGCTTCAAACCCTGTGCCAGGCTCTCCAAACCCCAGCCTCTCCGAACTCCTGTGCTTGAATCTCCAAACCCTGTGCCAGGCTCTCCAACCCCCGCCTCTCCCAAATCCCTGTGCCAGCCTCTCCCAAACCCCTGTTCCAGGCTGTGCCAACCCTGTGCCAGGCTCTCCAACCCCTGTTCCAGTCTCTCCGAACCCCAGGCTCTCCCAGGTTCCTGTGCCAGGCTCCCAGCCCCGTTCTGGGCACCGTGTCCGTGCCGGGACCGGCCGGGGCTGCTCGGAGCGGCCCCAGGCTCGGGCAGGGAGGGGTCGGGGGTGGCGCTGCCTCCCCCAGCCCCGCCCGGATCAGCCCCAAAGCCCGGGAAGGGCTGGTCCGGCCGGGATGTGGCAGCTGCGGCGGGAGCTGGGCCGTGATGTCACTGTCACCTGCCGGGAGGGAGCGGGGCTGAGCCGGAGCATCGGCGCCTCCCCGTCCCTGTCCCTGTCCCTGTGCCCGTCCCTGTCCCCATCCCTGTGGCTGTGCCCGTCCCTGTCCCTGTCCCCGTCCCTGTCCCCCATTGCCGTCCACATCCCTGTCCCCATCCTTGTCCCTGTCGCTGTCCCTATCCTTGTCCCCATCCCTGTCCCCCATTGCTGTCCCCATCCCTGTTCTCTGTCCCTGTTCCCATTCCTGTCTCTCTCCTTATCCCCGTCCCCATCACTGTCCCCATCCTTGTCCCTGACCCCGCCCCTCTCCCCCATCCCCATCCCTGTCCCCGTCCCTATCGCTGTCCCCTCCCCATCGCTGTCCCCATCCCCGTCCCCATCCCCGTCCCTGTCGCTGTCCCCGTGTCCCAGCCCCGGTGTCTCTCCGTGCTGTGGCTGCAGCAGCAGCAGCGGTGGTGGCGCTCACCCAAGGTCACCGCAGGGGACAATAGCGCTGGGGACAGAGCCCGAGCCTCCCGTGTGGCACAGCCTGGCCTGGGGACACCGGGCAGACACACGGACCGTCCGCCTGTCTGTCTGTCTGTCTGTCTGTCTGTCTGTGTGTCACCGGAGCCGGAGAGCGGAGCAGAGCCAGCCCTGCCGGGAGCTCCTGGCCCAGCTGGGCTGGGATTCCTGTCCCTCAATTCCTGTCCCTCAATTTCTGTGTCTGGGATTCCTGTCCCTCAATTTCTGTCTCAGGAATTTTTATCCCTCAATTTCTGTGTCTGGGATTTCTGTGTCTGGGATTGCTGTCCCTCAGTTTCTGTCCCTCAATTTCTGTCCCCCGTGGAAGCCCCAGCACAGCCAGGGTGGGCACAGCTTGGGATGTTTTGGGGTCCCCCAGGGTGGGCGCAGCTGAGGACAGGAGGTGGCACAGGGTGAGCCGGCAGCAGCTGGGGCTGCCCAGGAATTGCCCTCAGGAATTGTTCGGTTCCTCCTTCTCTTGTAAATAATCATGGGCAGAGCCCAGGGCACGAGTGGCACCTCTGTCACAGGGATTTGGGGACAGTGGGACATGGGAAACGTGTGCAGGGATTTGGGAAATCATGGACAATGGGAGATGTGAGTTCTGTGCAGGGATTTGGGGACAGCGGGAGATGTTTAGTCACAGGCAGAACCCGGGGCAGGGATTTGGGGACAGTGGCACACGGGAAGTGCTTGCCTGTGCCCATGGCACCCCTCCCATTCCTTTTGGGGTGCCCTCTCCCCCCTGCAGCCCCTGCCCGGATTTCCCAGTGCCCGAGGAGGGACAATCCCGGTTCCCAACCGGGCGGCACCGGGAGCAGAGCTGCCCCCAGAGCTGCCACCCCCTGTCCCGCCCCTGTCCCGTGACAATGGGGGCTGGCGGGGCTGTGGCCACCCTGGAGCCGGTGCCAGCCCCGTGCCAGCCCCGTGAGGGCACGGCTGGGACTGGGGCTCTTTTGGGAAGGTTCTTGGAGTGCAGCTTTGTTTGTGTCAATATTTGGACGTTTCTCAGGCGTGATTATGGAGCAACCTGAGCCTCATGAATATTCAGAGACCTCGGGGACTGCCTCGCTCTGCTCTGTGTGACAGGGACAGGGACACAGGGAAAGGGACAGGGGGACAAGGCCGGGGACACAGGGGGACAGGGACACTGGGCACGGCTGGCACAGCCTGAACTGGGGGCACTGGGGGTGCCAGGGCTGTGCTGGTGGAGGGCACCTGGGGCTGGACATCACCTGGATGGGTGTGGTCACTCCTGGCAGGGACAGTGCCACCTGTGCCCACCTGGGACAGCTCCACCTGTCCTACCTGGGCAGGGGCAGTTTTGGGGTTTTTGTTTGTCTTTGAGGGTTTTGTTTATTATTATTATTATTATTATTATTATTATTATTATTATTATTATTATTATTATTATTATTATTAATAATAATAATAATAATAATAATAATAATAATAATAATAATAATAATAATAATAATACAACCATTACAGCCAATAAGGATAAAAGGCCTAGGCTCAGGGATTTTTATTCTTTCCCTCCTTTTTTATGCTTTCCTCTCTGCTGGCAGCAGCACAAAGAGCCAGGGCAGCCCTTCTGCTGCTGGGGACGGTGGGAGAAACTGGAAGAAAAACCAGAATAAGGGTTTGCACTGATTTTTCCCCTTTCTGCCCAATTCCTGGCAGGCACCACATGCACGATGTGATCCCATACTTGTGCTTTCCCTCCTTTTTTATGCTTTCCTCTCTGTTGCCAGGAGCACAAAGGGCCAGGGCAGCCCTTCTGCTGCTGGGGACGGTGGGGTAGAAACTAAAAGAAGAGTTTTGACCGATTGTTGCCGTTTTGACCGATTGTTGCCGTTTTGACCGATTGTTGCCGTTTTGACCGATTGTTGCCGTTTTCCCCCCGTTCTCGCCCAGGCACCACGTGCACTACGTGATCCCCTACGACGGGGACCAGTCGGTGGTGGACTCCTCGGAGAATTACTTTGTGACCGACAATGTGACCAAGCAGGAGATCGACCTCATGCTGGGGCTGCTGCTGGGCTTCTGCATCAGCTGGTTCCTGGTGTGGATGGACGGCGTCCTGCACTACGCCGTGCGCGCCTGGCGCGCCAGCCGCCGATACGGTACGGGCCCCGCCCCGCTTCATCTTCATCTTCATCATCATCATCTTCAGCAGCCTCCTCATCTGCTGCTCCTCCTCATCTGCTGCTCCTCCTCCTCATCTTCTGTTCTTCTTCCTCATCTTTCTCGTTTTCTGCTCTTCTTCCTCCTCTTCATCATTGTCCTCATCTTCATCATCTTCTCATCATCTCCTCCTCTTCAATATCTTCCTCCTCATTGTCTTCTCATCTTCATCATCATCATCATCATCATCAGCCTCCTTATCCTCCTCCTCATCTGCTGCTCCTCCTCCTCATCTTCTGTTCTTCTTCCTCATCTTTCGCGTCTTCTGCTCTTCTTCCTCATCTTCATCATTGTCCTCATCTTCATCGTCTCCGCATCATCTCCTCCTCTTCGTCATCTTTCTCCTCGTCACCTTCACCTTCTTCATCATCTTCCTCCTCATCTTCTCCTCTTCCTCTTCCTCATCTTTCTCATCATCTTTTCATCTTCATCATCTTCCTTCTCACCTTCACCTTCTTCATCATCTTCCCATCTTCTTCATAATCATCTTCATCTTCTCATCATCATCATCTTCTCACCTTCTTCATCTTCATCACCTTCTTCCTCCTCATCTCCCTCATCATCTTCTCCTCTTCCTCATCTTCATCATCTTCCTCATCTTCGTAATCTTCATCACCTTCATCATCTTCATTACTTTCATCCTCCTCCTCCTAATCTTCATCCTCCTCCTCCTCTTCTTCTCCTCTTCCTCCACATCCTCCTCATCTTCCTCATCTTCTCATCTTCCTCATCTTCTCCTCTTCCTTCCCTTCCTCATCTTCCTCCTCATCTTTTCTTCTTCATCATCTTCCTCCTCCTCTTCCTCCTCCTCTTCTCCTTTTCATCCTCCATTATTCCCATTCCCAATCCCATTCCTATTTCTATTTCCATTCCCATTTCCATTTCCATTCCCATTTCCATTATTTCCATTTCAATTCCCATTTCCATTATTTCCATTATTTATTTCCATTCCCATTTCCATCCCTTCCCACCCCTCACCCCTGGCCAGATGTGGAGAGGTTTTTATTCACTCGTGTCATCAAAAACAAAAACCTTGAGCACAGTTGCCAGGTTTGGAGCAGTAAAATCCTGAATTTACCCCAAGAAGGACCAGCAGCCCCTTCAGAGCCTCCCTCTGCCCCATTCCCCCCTCAGCCCGTGGGTTTTCGTATTTGGAGGAGATAAAAACGACAGGAAAAGTAGGGAATGACTGGAAACTCCCTCCAAATGTGCCAAAAAAATCTCATTTCTCCAACCCCTGACTGATGGTGCTGCTAAACCCAGCTCAGGGAAAGGAGCAGCAGGAAGATTTATCTGCAGGCCCATGAGAAATTCTCATTAGAAACGTGCAGTCTCTTTCTAAAAACTCAGATAAAAATGAAATTAATTTCCCATTAATCTTCCCAAACCCCAGCAGGCTCCAGGAGCCGTTTCTGAGCTGGGATTCTGATTTTCCTGGGAGATTTCAGCCTCTGAGAAGCAATTCTGGGGCTGTAACTCCTGATTTCACCAGAGATCAGAGCAGGGCTGCCAGGAGCTCTCCTGGAGCTGGGATCACCTGCCCCTTGTGATGGGAGGCTTTTATTTTTAGTAATTCATTTACTGGTTTATTTTTAGTAATTATTTAGTGTTTTTTATTTTTAGTAATGAATTTCGTATGTTATTTTTAGTAATTATTTAGTATTTTTTATTTTTAGTAATTACTTAGTAGTTTATTTTAGTAGTTTATTTAGTAATTTAGTAGTATTATTTAGTAGTTTATTTTTAGTAATTAATTTACTATTTTAAAAATTTTTAGTAGTTAATTTAGTATTTTATTTTTAATAATTAATTTCTATTTTATTTTTAGTAATTAATCTCATATTTTATATTTAGTAAGTACTTAGTATTTTCTATTTTTAGTAATGAATTTCATATTTTATATTTAGTAATTACTTAGTATTTGAAACGTGTATTAATTACTATATTTCTTATAAATATTATTATGAATTATTAATACAAACCTATATAGCATATAAAATATTAATTATTATAAATGGCAATTATAATAATTATTATTACAAAGTGTTAATATATGTAATATAATATAATATATAATATATAATATATAATATATAATATATAATATATAATATATAATATATAATATATAATATATAATATATAATATATAATATATAGTGTATAATGTATAATATATAATATATAATATAATATCTATTATATAAGATTATATATGATATATTATATATAATGTTTAATATATAATTATATAATATATATTATATAAGGTATAAATTATAAATTAGCAATTAGTATAAATATTATTACAAATTATTACTATAAAATACAATATGAGATAAAATATTACTTATTATACATTTTCAATTATTATAAATATTATCTAATATAGAGAATATTAATTATTATAAATTATTAATCAGTATAAATATTAGAAAATAGAAACTTAACATTAGTCAAGGTGTAGAATGAATTCCCAAGCTTGGAGAATTCCCCCAGGGTGACCCTGGGGGTGCCAGGAGGAGCGAGGGGAAGCAGCAGAGCTGCCCTGGCTGTGCTGGCAGGGGGACGAGGGGCTGGGCTGGGGACAGTGAGCCCTGGGGACACAGAGTCCTGGGGACACCCAGAGCCCTGGGGGGACACGCACACAGCCCCGGGGACACAGAATCCTGGGGACAAGGAGCTTTGCTGGGGTCACCCAGAGTCTTGGGGACACAGAGCTTTGGGGACACACACAGAGCCCTGGGGACACACAGAACTCTGGGGACACAGAATCCTGGGGACAAGAAGCTCTGCTGGGGACAGAGCCCTGACCTTCCCTGCCTTGCAGTCAAGGAGCTCTGCTAAGGACACCCAGAGCCCTGGGCACACAGAGCTCTGGGGACACAGAGCCCTGGGGACACAGAGCCCTGGGGACACAGAGCCCTGGGGACACAGCCCTGGGGACACAGAGCTTTGGGGACACCCAGAGTCCTGGGCACACAGAGCTTTGGGGACACACAGCCCTGGGGACACAGAGCCCTGGGGACACAGCCCTGGGGACACAGAGCCCTGGGGTCACTCAGAGTCCTGGGGACACCCAGAGCCCTGGGGACACAGCCCTGGGGACACAGCCCTGGGGACACACGCAGAGCCCTGGGGACACAGAGCTTTGGGGACACCCAGAGTCCTGGGCACACAGAGCTTTGGGGACACACAGCCCTGGGGTCACAGCCCTGGGGACGCTCAGAGTCTGGGCACACAGAGCTTTGGGGACACATCCCTGGGGACACCCAGAGTCCTGGGCACACAGAGCTCTGGGGACACAGCCCCGGGGCCACACGCAGAGCCCGGGTGGGTGACGGGGCTGACGCTGGTGTCCCTCGTTGCAGACACGCCCTGGTGGTGGATCCCCAGGCTGTGTAAGCTGAAGGAGCTGCGCAAGCGCCACCCTCGGCAGTACGAGGAGCCCACGGGGAACATGGTGCACATCAAACAGAAGCTCTACCACAACGGGCACCCCAGCCCGCGGCACCTGTGAGGGACTGCAGCGCCTCCGAGCCACAGCCGGGACTCCTCTTCCTCACGGGACAGCCCCTGCTCTGCTCCCGGGCCAGCTGGGGACACGGATTGTCGCGATTTTGTCGGGATGGCCGCGGGTGGACGCGCAGCCATGCACAACCAGAGCCGGGGCTGGGCGCTCTGCAGCCGAGGCTTTGCACTGTGTTCCACATTTTATTGTCAGACTGGTGTAAATATGTAAAAAAAAAAAAGAAAAAAAAGCAGACAAACAACAACAACAACAACAACAACAAAAGATTTGCATTATAATTTCAACCCTCATCTCATTTTCCTGGCTGTCCTGCACATCCTGCTGGGAATGGTGGCCGAGGGGATGGAGGTGGGACAGCAGCGAGAAGATGCAAAGTGTCTCCTCCAGGAGCTCCAGCCCCACAAAATTTCTTTGCTCCTTTGGCTGCTCTGACCCTCCCGTGGCTACAAGGGCCTGGCTGGTCACAGGTTTGGATGGGGGAAGGCACAGAGTCCCCTTTTTGGGGTTTTTGGGGTTTTTTTTTGCTTTGGTTCACGGGTTTCACAGAGTCCCCTTTTTGGGGTTTTTTGCTTTGGTTCACAGGTTTGGATGGGGGAAGGCACAGTGTCCCCTTTTTGGGGTTTCTGGGGTTTGTTTTGCTTTGGTTCACAGGTTTCACAGTGTCCCCTTTTTGGGTTTTTTTGGGTTTTTTTACCTTGGTTCATGTTCTGGAGTTGCTGTGGGGGAAGGAAGGGCTGGGGATGGGTCAGGGTTTGTGTTTGCATTGCTGCCCTCTGAACCTGCCTTAAGCACGCCCACCTCAGAGCCAGGGGACAGGGGCTGCTGCTGTGGTGGCACCTTTGGAGGTGGCACCTTTGGAGGTGGCACTTTTGGTGGCACCTTTGGTGGTACCTTTGGTGGTGACACCTTTGATGACGGCACCATTGGTGACACCTTTGGTGCTGGCATCTTTGGAGGTGACACTTTTGAAGGGGGACCTTTGGTGGTGGCACCTTTGGTGGTGGCACCTTTGGTGACACCTCTGGTGCTGGCATCTTTGGTGGTGGCACTTTTGGTGGCGGCACCATCACACCCCCAGCCCTTGCCTGGGCAAAAAGGAGCTGCTCTGTCCTCTTCCTGTAGGGTGAACCTGGTTAAAACACCCCAAAACCCCAAAACCCAGCACAGAGGGAGCCCTGAGCAGGGTGAGCCTGGTTAAAACACCCCAAAACCCCAAAGAACAGCAAGAGGGGGCCATGAGCAGGGTGAGCTTGGTTAAAACACTCCAAAAACTTGGTTAAAACACCCCAAAACCCCAGAGAGCAGCAAGAGGGGACCCTAAGCAGCTTCTTGTAGGGTGAGCCTGATTAGAACACCCCAAAAGCCCGGTTAAAACACCCCAAACCCCAAAAACCCAGCACAGAGCAGGGTGAGCCTGGTTCAAACACCCCAAAAACCTGGTTAAGATACCCCCAAACCCCAAAGAGCAGCAAGAGGGGTCCCTGAGCAGCCTCACCCCTGCTGCAGCCCCTTCTTGTGGGGCTGAGCTTTGGGGACACACAGACACCCAGAGCAAACCCCAAAACCACAGACACCCAAAGCAAAACCCCAAAACCACAGACACCCAGAGCAAAACCCCAAAACCACAGACACCCAGAGCAAACCCCCAAACCACAGACACCCAGAGCAAACCCCAAAACCACAGACACCCAAAGCAAACCCCAAAAGCACAGACACCCAAAGCAAAACCCCAAAACCACAGACACCCAGAGCAAACTCCTCCCCACACACCCCAAATGTCCCCAGAGTTGAGCCCAGTGTGAGGAAGCTCCAAAGAGGTTTTGTGGTGCTGCTCCTGTGTGGGTTTTGGGGTCTGATCTTTTGGGATCAAGGCTCTGGAGGCAGCGTCCCCACCCCAGAACCTCCTTTAGGGCCTGCAGGAGCAGCTGGGGGGGTTTTGGGGTGTTTTATCCTGTCCTGGGATTTGTGAGCAGGGATGAAGGAGGGAAATGCCATCCCCAGAAATCGGAGAACCCTCAATATTTCCCTTCCTTTCATCTTTGTGTATCCAGTGGGATGGTGCAGAAAAAGGGGGAAAAACCCAAAACTGAAGGATGCTGAGCATTGCCAGAAACATCTCATTTTTTTCCCATGGATTCCATGACTCTCTCAGTGGCCTCCTGCTCTTTGATGGCAGGGAAAAGGACACTCCAACTCCTGCTCTTCCTCCCTGCTCCACTTTCTGTGTTTTGGGGTCATTTTTTAATTTCCTATGTGCCCAGTTCAGTTAATTACAAGCCCCCAAAACTGCCCAAATATTCCCATTTTTCTGCCATTCCCACTCTTGCTATTCCCTAGTGCCTCTTGTCTTGGAGCCCCAGGTTTTTTCTGGACCTCAATAATTGCCTGGTGCATATTTGTGTCTGTCTGTCTGTCTGTCTGTCTGTCATTCCTGGCTGTGATGCCCAAAATTCCTTAGGATCTAAGGAATAACTTTTCCTTGAGCAGTTATCAACAAGTGGGGACAGCATTTTGTAGGGGAGAAAATTCCATTGGGATAAGGACAAAATATTGAGCCCCTGGGACTGGTTATGTAAAAAAAAAGGGGAGAAAAAAGCACTTTAAATCAAAATTTCCACTGACTAAACTCAGACTGAATGTAAAGCCTGGCTCTGCCCTGCTCTAGAAGCTGAGCTTGTTTGAAATATTAAAAATTTAAGCAGAAATATTAAAAATTAGGCAGCTGGAAAGGGTGAAGTGGTGGCTCACACCTGTTAGGGTTGATCCGGCTGATCCGTGGCAAAATTCCACAAAAATTTGAGGATCTGGAAGAGGGGGGGAAATTTTTTCTACATAATAAAAATGTTCCTGTTGTATAAAAAGAGATTTTGAAAAAAAGAAAACATGACAAGAGGGAAGCAGAGGAGAGGAAGAAGAGGAGAGGGAAGGAGAGAGGGAAACAGGAGAGGAAGAAGAGGAGAAGAGGAAAGGCAAGCAGAGGAGAGGAAGAGGAGGAGAGGAAACAGGAGAAGGAACCAGAGGAGGAAAGAGAGGAGAGAAAGTAAAGGAGAGGAAGGAGAGGAAGCAGAGAGGGAAGTAGAGGAGAGGAAGAAAAGGAGAGGAAATAAAGGAGAGGAAGAAGAGGAAAGGGAAGAAGAGAGGAGAGGAAGCAGAGAGGGAAGCAGAGGACAGGAAGCAGAGGAGAGGAAGGAGAGGAAGAAGAGGAAAGGAAGGAGAGGAGAGGAAGCAGAGGAGAGGGAAGAAGAGAGGAAGAAGAGGAAATGAAGTAAAGGAGAGGAAGAAGAGGAGAGGAAAGCAGAGAAGAGGGAGCAGAGAAGAAGAAGAGGAGAGGAAGTAAAGGAGTGGGAAGCAGAAGAGAGGAAGGAGAGGAGAGGAAGGAGAGGAAGAAGAGGAAAGGAAGGAGAGGAGAGGAAGCAGAGAAGAGGGAAGAAGAGAGGAAGAAGAGGAGATGAAGTAAAGGAGAGGAAGAAGAGGGAGCAGAGGAGAAGAGGAGAGGAAGTAAAGGAGTGGGAAGCAGAAGAGAAGGAGAGGAAGAAGGAAGGAGAGGAAGAAAGAAGGAGAGGAAGCAGAGGAGAGGAAGCAGAGGAGAGGAAGGAGAGGAAGAAGAGGAGAGGAAGGAGAGGAAGCAGAGGAGAGGAAGAAGAGGAGAGGAAGCAGAGGAGCCAGGAGGAGCTGCCCAGCCCCGCTGGGCTGTGGGGCCCTGCTGTGTGTCCGTGTGTCCTGAGCTCTGTCTGTGTCTCTCTGTCCCCTGCATGGACCTGTCCCCCCTCTGGCAGCCCCGTTTCTGTCCCCAGGGGTCCCCAGCCCCTCCTGGCTCTCCCAGCAGGGTCAGCCCAGGCCCTGCTCTCACTGGGGAGGATTTTCACCCCTGGAGCACCAGGACAGAGCCTGCAGTGCTGCTTGCCCTGATTCCCATTTTTTAATTTCTTTTTTCCTGCACCCAAACCACTTCTGCATGCATCAGGCAGGGAGAGGCACAGCCCAGACTCTACCAGAGAGATCCAACTCTGCTCTGGGTCTATCACAGAATCATCTCTACTGTGGTTGAAAAGCAATAATAATGGCTCATTTTTATTTTTTATCAAATAAAACTTGCACAGGCAGATTTCAGCCAGGGCTTTGTGCTCTCCAGCCTGTGCTGAAGGGAGCAGCTGAAGGTGCAGAGAGCTTGGGCTGGGGGAGGCAATAGAAAAAAGCACACTGTGATTTATTTTGGGTCAACAAGGGAGTGTATTTCAGCCATTCCTTCCCTTTCAAGAAGATGTTTGTATCATAGAGAACCAGTTCAGCTCCTGGAACTAAGCCCATCCTTTGCTGTTTGTCAGTAAAATAGTTTTTTGCATGTTTTGCATCTGAGTGGTTTTTTTCCCCCCAACCCTTTGAAGTCAGTGATTCCCTCTGGGAGCAGCAGCTCCCCAGTTTTTGGGCAGGGGGTGCAGAAAGGCTGGGAAGGTGTGGGGAGAGCTCTCCTGACCTCTGAGGAAGGGCTGGGAGATTCCTCCACATTCTGGGACAGATTTTTGGCTCCTGCTGGCTGGGAAAACAGGGAAGCTCCGAGATCCAAAACTGATTTCAAAGGAAAATATTTCAATTTTCAATTCTGGGTGCAAGCTGCCTGCAGAGAGGAGCCTGGGCCTCTCAAGCCCAATGCCTGGAAGGGCAGGAAAAGCAGGAAAAGCAGAGGAATCTCAGGAAAAGTGCCAGGAAATAGCTCAGGGTGGACAAAGTGGGCACCCCAGAGCAGCAGCTCCCCAGTTTTTGGGCAGGGGGGTGCAGAAAGGCTGGGAAGGTGTGGGGAGAGCTCTCCTGACCTCTGAGGAAGGGCTGGGAGATTCCTCCACATTCTGGGACAGATTTTTGGCTCCTGCTGGCTGGGAAAACAGGGAAGCTCCGAGATCCAAAACTGATTTCAAAGGAAAATATTTCAATTTTGTTCAATTCTGGGTGCAAGCTGCCTGCAGAGAGGAGCCTGGGCCTCTGGTGCCCATTACCTGGAAGGGCAGGAAGAGCAGGAAAAGGAGGAATTTCAGGCAAAGTGCCAGGGAGCAGCTCAGGGTGGACAAAGTGGAGCTGGTGGCAGCTCCTGGGTGAGCACAACAGCTCAGCAAGGGCACAGATTTAGGTCAGGCCAAGTGCTGGAGCTGTGTAGCTACACAAGAGGCCTCAGAGCAGAGCACAGAGTTCAAATCCAGTTCAAACACAGAAAAAAAAAAATCAGGAGATTTTCTAACCTGTCTCTCATATGCACAGAAGAACAAATGTCATCTCATCAAGACAGGCTCGTGTTCAGGGCCTGACAATGGCACATTTTCCCAGCTGCTGCAGAAAATTTGTGTGGCAAGAGCAGCTTGATGGCAGCAGTGGGAGCAAACAAGCTGCACTCATCTCTCTCTTCAGCCCATGCTGCATCTGTGTGCCCCAAACTCACCTCTCCATGGAGAAAAGTGATTTACTTGGGGGAAAAATATGGGGATTTACTTGGGGGAAAAATATGTGGGGCTGCTCTCAGGTCACTTTTGGT